TTGTGTTTCCCAGGATGAGGTTACACAGAAATTTTGACAGAGAATCAGAGAATGGAAGTGATAATGGTGGAAACAGCATCTCTGCCCTCTGAAAACACCCTGATGGATCAAAGCTCCTCTTCTTCTCAGTGGTGTACAAGACTTCATGAACTTATGTCTTGATTAAGTAACATTTATAGCCCTGATCCTAAACTTGATCTGTAGGCAGCTGTTAAGGGTTGAGTTCCTTGAAAATGGCGGAAACAACTCGAACATCAGGACTTCTAAAGACAGAAATCAGGCTCTGGGCTTCAGCATTACAGGATTAACATCTCTGATCATGTGTCCTCAGTTCCAGGATCAGCCGTCAATGACAAACTCAAGTCACAACAGACACAACACAGGGCCAATTCCCTTCAAAGAGACGAGCATCACTCTGCTCCACTCATTACGCATTACTGTCTCACAGTGACTATCTGGATCACCCGACATGAAGCCAGACGTCACTGACACTTTATTCTGAACTGAAATGTTATTTAAAAACAGAATTCAAACTGAAAAATACAGATGTTAAGACAGATGTAGCAGTCCTGTACAGCAAACAGGAGAGATGGTGCTGGATACAACAGTCATTGGATTGATTCCCAAGGAATAAAATAACAGTCAAATGTGTAAATGTAAATAAATGTAGATTTATTTTTTAAATATAGCTTCTGTGTCTTTAATTCACATTTGGCATTTGGTAAACTAACATCAAAAGTGTGTTATGTTAGAGATATTTAGTTACATTTCCAGCCAGGTAAAATATTTATGGGAATTCACCATTGGCGGTGCGGGATAAATGGTTATCTTTCAAAGTCCCTCTGCATGCAATTGGATAGCGCTACAACTAACCAGAGCGTTTTCCAACCAGCGGAGCTAGTAATAGATTCAACTTTTGCCGCATCTGGTCGGCAAAACTATGAACACATCTTCCTTTAAGAATTTCTTTGTTCTTTCGTTCTTTGTTTTTTTTCTCAAAGAAAAGCTTAACTCTAAATCCTCCAGAGAGTCGGGTTTAACATAATCGCGGCCAAAGCCGATTCGAAAGTTACACGTAGCAAGGAACCGTTGCAACTCTGTCATCATTATGTTAAGCCCGACTGCCAAGTCTATACACGATGTGATTGGCCTGACTAGAGTTTGGTTTTTCTAGCTTGAAAGCCAACGGAGAGTTGCTAGACCCTGGCTGCAAAATAAAATTTGCTGCCGCTAGGGTGCATCTAGATTGCTATAGGCTAGAAAAAGGGTCCTTAATGAAGGAATTTGGTTGAATGCTTTGGTTTGGAATTTTCCATCAAACAACATATACAAAAAAAAATGTCTAATTGTTACTTTTAATTATGTATTTAATTTAGTAAAATGCTGGAAACATTTGTTTTATGAAGATGTATGTATGAAGATCTTAAATGCTGTTACAGATAAACGGAGTTTGACTAGTCAAAATGTATTTAAAGATAGGCTATCTCAAATCAGATTTCTTACTGGTGCTAATATAATTGTAGATACCTCTAGTCTAAATAATATTTTGACAAGATCCATTAAATATTTATGAATAGTCAAAACATAGTTTTACATGTTAATACAGGGCCTTGCCATGCAGGGGTTTTAGACTAATGGTAATTCGGTTTGCCAATATGCGAGAGGATTTGAGAATAACAGTGAAGCGACGCAACTGATACTGGTAGGTAACGTGAGAGTAACACAATGGTGGATGTAGTATACGTTCAAATTTCATTCATACACTACACACATTCATACTAGGCTTAAGCAGAGTTCACACCACAACTATAACGATTAAGGTGTAATGAAGGATATCTTTGGGATCACCTTCAGTATGAATTTTTTTTCAGCTGTCAAACGACAAAACACTGAAAGCCAATCAGAATCCATTCTAATTTGAGGTCTTGCGCATTTAAAATGGCAGACGACATTGTAGCTTATTATTTCTGATATCAAAAATTGTCATTGTTCTGATTCAGCACTGTGGGAAAAATTCCAGGTTGTAATTTGCCCTTAAAGACCAGCTAAATCGATTTTTTCCATATTAATTTCTGAACATTTTAAATGTTTAATAAAGGGGCAAAAGCCATGAAAATTTTGTTTTTTAGCAGCATTTGTGTAGTTTATATTTCAAATTTTGCGTTTTAAAAATTGAACAACCGTTCATTTTCGTTTTTCAAATACGGGTTAAAAAAGAAAAACGAATGGAGAAAAATGACATGGACCATATTAAATATTTCAAATAATCTATTTGTAGATAAGTTTAATGTCTTGGGTCCATGTACATTTGCGTGTTCCAAGGCTGGTTGTAATTGCGGCTCGACGAAGGCTACCCTGATTCAAAACCGACGCCAAATGCACCCTCGTGTGGTTTGCATCCACATTTTTATTGATAATAATAACTGTTGAGATGATGGATTGATACATTCGTCATCCTGAATTTTTATAGTAAAATGATTTTGCTTTACAAAGCACATACTGGTGATTAGTGATTCTCATGTGTGTAGTAAGCCTATATAAAATGGAGAGTGACGTCACCAGTCGAAATAACTGTACCCCCTGAAGCTCACGGTATAATTCGAACACTGCCTACATATGTGCAATTTAAGACTTTAGAAGGCCAAAAAAAGTATAATAAAAAGCTTTACATGTCAGTGCGCATTAGATTATTTTGTCACTGTCTTTCTTTTTCTCTCAGTCTCCTTATCCTGCCCTATTTTTTCTCCTCCTAAAGCTGAACTTTGACTGATAGTCTTTCATTTTCGTTTGTGTCAGTGAAAAAAACATAGGTAAACATAGGCTTAACTGATAATTATATGTTTGAATCATGATCGTAAACAAGTTAATTTACTCAAAGGCTACCAGGTCAGTATTGCCAACTTCTACAAGCTTTGGAAATTGAAAATAATTTTAAATAATACAAAATAGGCAATATGTTTAAAGGCACAAAATTAACCTTTGGTCTAATAAAACATTGGTACCAATGGTTCTCTGAGATTTGTTTTCATGATAATCGAATGTAAAGAGTTTTATCTCTAAAAACTGTTTAGATTATAACGCTAGTATATGGGGGCATATAATTAGTAAAAATACCACTAACAAGGCTCAAAATAGCCCCACACTAACACAGTAACATAATTAGGGTCCCTACATGCAAAACGAAGCATTGAGAACTTTGCAAGTTTGCAGACCGTTTAATGAGAAGATATTTGGTATCTTCTTAATGTCAAATGCAGTTCCGGACCGTTCCGGTCTGTAACCCCTGTGTATATATATATCTATATATATATAAAAAAATTAAATTAATTTAATAAATACAAACAGTTTAGACGTATCATTTTAACAACAGGAAAACACTAACAAGCAGTTTGTCTGTTTTCAAGGCAACAAGATCGCCACAAATCTGACTTTGCCAATTGAGAGATCATTCATTTAAATGTTTTTTTTTCTCTATGTTCTGTATAGTTTGTTACCATGCAGAGTGCAGTAGGTAGCAACTAAATAATGTTACAGATTGTGAAAGAACAACATAAACGATTGCAGGTATGGATTTATTTGTATTTTAAAATATTTTATTTTATATCACATACCCTTGTTTAATTTCAGATTTGTACAAAAAGACAAAATGTCTTTGACTGCTCTTCCTTTAACTAACAACACAACCCGAAACAATCAAATTATACCGATTATGCCTGAGTGAACTTTAGTAACATGAACTTCAGGGGAAAATAATAACGTTATATAATTCCTTTTGCAATTCATAATTTATATTTGTTGAATCTATTTTCCTGCAGGTAGGATGAGTTGTGTTTTGTGGTGGATTTGTAGCCTCACTGCAAAAAATGCTTTTCTTACTTAGTATTTTTGTCTTGTTTCCAGTCCAAATAAAAATTCTTAAATCAAAAGAAGCATTTTACTACACATGTAAAATGACAAGAAATGCACATGTGAGAAATGTGCACAAAAGTTTGAACTAAATCACAAACACATAACTAATCTAAACAAATAAAAATCATGCATACATGGAAAATGGAAAAGTGAAAGTGAATGAGAAACAGAACAAGGGAATGAATCTTTGAAAAGAGTATTTAAATAATGGCTGTGCAAAAGTTAATTGCGATTAATCGCATCCAAAATAAAAGTCTGTGTTTACATAGTATATTTGTGTGTGCTGTATATAATTATTTTGTATATATAAATAAACACACATGCATGTATATGTTTAAGAAAATGTGTTATTCCTATATAAAATATTTATATAATATAGATTATGTATTTATATATATATACAGAATTTAAGCGCAAATCATTCTTTAATATATACATACATGCATAGGTATTTATATATACAAAACAATTATATACAGCACACTCAAATATATTACTGTATATAAACACAGATTTTGGATGCGATTAATCGCAATTAACTTTTGCACAGCCCTAAATAATAATAATAATAATAATAAACTTTTGAGTTATACAGCAGTGCAGAGTGAAATATATATTGTTTTCACGTATCTTTACAGAAGTCTTTATATTTGAGTGAAAGGCTAGTCTTTGAGAGATTTTTTTTAATATGTATTAAAAATACAAGTCTAAAATGCAACACTCAATGTTATACAATGTAATAGGATTCCTTAATCAATCTTTCTACCCTGGCCTGAAAAAGGGCAAAGACTCCTGATATTGATAAGGTTACTATAAACGATAACATATATAAGATTTTTTTAAAATATATTTATAACTGTATTAATTGGTTTGAAATACAATCACACTCAGATTATAAACTTTTACTGTTGAATTGGTCTACTGGTGAAACACTGACTGAACTATAAACTATTCTATAAAATTCTTGTCAACTTTTTGAATCATCAACTTCTTTCCAGTAGATCCCTCCCACATCACTCCTGTTGGCCTTTATGAAGCACCTTTGACACTTTGATACCGGATAATAACATGTTTATGGCATACAATAAGGAACAGCTCAGATGGGGAAATTACACGAGGAATATTCACTCTCTTCCCTGCCAGCCTTCATAATACAGGCGGCACTGACAGTGAATTATGGAAAAAATTGATTTATTCTACATTTTATTTATTTTAGCTTGTCTTCATGTACACAGTGTAAGGAGTCCTGTTGGTAAGTCAAATTTATTCATAACCAGCTGAAGTTTAAGATGGTGGGCAGAACTGGAACTTTGTTAATTTGACTGTGTTGTTTACCAGAAAAGAAATGCGACTATCGTATATCCAGATTTTTAATATCTATCTATCTATGGTACATGCCTGTTTATAAACATGTTTTACAGGACAAAGGTCTTCTAATGAAGTAAATACTTTTCATGATGATGTTGATTTGTTTACATCATCATTTATATTTTCTATTCTAAGTCACTGTTCATTAACTTAGCTACTCTCTGAACAACTTGCATGCCATGGTGGCAAATGATTTATGCAAGGAGAAGATTTGAGAATAGCAGTTGAGTAGATATGATTGTTGCTTTATTCCGTATTAATAGATTATGATCCACAAATAAATTAATAAACATTTAGACATATTCACAAATAAATAGAATGAGATCCACAAATATACGTTTGGAGTTTCACAAACATTTACTAAATTCACAAATAGATAGTCAGCTCAATGTGGCCGTTATCTGATTGGCTTGAAGAAACGGTGGGTGGAGTTAAAACTGTGGCTTGGATTGATACGTAATGGTCCAACGAAATAAAAATGTTAAACATCTTTTACTTAACCAATTTGTATGGACCTTAGACTTCCTATCTGAGCCAACCCGATCTCACGGGAATTCGTACGAATTTTACGAGGTGGCTAATTCGTAACAATTCGTACGACCTCACTCGTACGAATTAGTACGATTTAGCTAAATCGTACATATTTTACGAATTAGCCAATTCGTATGAATTCGTACGAATGACCTACCCCTGACCCCGCCCCTAAACATAACCGTCACGTGGGTTTAGACAAATCGTACAAATTTGTACGAGTGAGGTCGTATGAATTAGTACGAATTAGCCACTTTTGAATCACTCGTACGAATTCGTACGAATTGGTCGTGAGATAGGGTAGTCTGAGCCAATGCAGAATGAACAAATAATTTCAGTGCAATGCAAATCGTGATTGGTTGGAGCGAGGGCATGCTAGAGTATGATAGGTCTGGGCAATGTGGCTGTTGTCTGATTGACTTGAGTAGACGGTGGGTGGAGTCTACTTATTTGTAAATTTGTCTCCACTCTACATGTCTTGATTTTTTTAGTCTATGGTCTTGACTCTTGACACCAGAAAAATTTAGCAAATTCCACAAATGCGGAGTGGGCAGAGTTGTGTTTGGGACATAAAACACATATTTGTGAATATTTTATTGCCAAATGTCATTTTATTTACTTGTGAATTTAATTACAGCCCATTCTCACCCCCAAGGCGTCACTTAACTGACGCCTTGGGAAGCATTTGGACATGCTTCAATATCTGACGCTTTAGGCGCCCTTTAGCGTCAGTTAGATCAGTGTTTCCCAACCCTGTTCCTGGCGGCACACCAACACTGCGTGTTTTCTTTGTCTCCCTAATCAAACACACCCGATTCAACCCATCAGCTCATTAACCCACCTGATTATGAGCTGATGGGTTGAGTCAGGTGTGTTTGATTAGGGAGACAATGAAAACACGCAGTGTTGGTGTGCCGCCAGGAACAGGGTTGGGAAACACTGAGTTAGATGACGTCCTAGGATCGCGTGTACCCTACCCCCACCCCACACCTAAACCTAACCGCGTCCTCTAACAGTTAGGAGGAGGCCCCCTTGTGTAGGGTGAATCCTTTTGTGGCCCCCCCAAAAGAAAACTCATAACGAAAACATCCTCAAACGTACAATTTTACTTACAAATTTTAGATTGTACCAAAAACAAATGAATTTGTACAATGCTGGAACAACAGTTCTGTTTTTAGCTTTATGTCTTTGAATATACAAAATTAGTATAATTGTACATTTCATTAAATATAACATTTTTTTTATAAAAAATGGTTTTGACAGTTAACAGTAATATTGTCTGAAAAGTGCAACAAAAGTATTGAATACTGAACATTTGTGATGTTCATAGTAAAAGATAAACACTGAAAAATTAATTTGCTGATTGTAAAAAAGTGCATTAAACTTCTTACATTTTAAGGTAGTAAATGACAGTGGCTCAAGTTTGGTTTGCAAATTTGAACAGCAATCTGTTTTTTCAGCAAGAAACAAACAAAAAAATTCTACTCTACTTAAAGAAATACTTTTTCAATATAGAAGACATACAATTTTATACAAGTTTTACAATATAAAAGAAATCATGCAATGCAGATTTCACATAGGACAATCCAAACTTACATACAGGTAAAATAATTTTTTTAAATAATTTCATATTCTAGAATTTCTTTGCGGCCCCCCTAGCACCATCTAGTGGCCCCCCATGGGGCCACGGCCCCCAGTTTGAGAACCTAACTGACGCTTTCCTTTAGCGTCAGTTAGATGACGCCATAGGATCGCGTCATGTAAGTGACGCTAAAGGGCGCCTAAAACGTCAAATATTGAAGCATGGTCAAAGGTGACGCCTTGGGGTGAGAATGCGTTGTTAATTACTTTAAGTGATACTCCTAAAGATTATTCGTAGATCTCATTATATATCTCTTTACATTTATTAGTGGATCATAATAATTTGGAATAAAGCAACAATTATATCCCCATAGTTGAGCCATACTATTTCAGCTAAATTTCAACAATTTTTAAACTGAATGCTTAATTTCTCTTTTTCAATATATTGTGTATTACTATATTTAGCCTTTTATCTTTTTGTTAAGTCCTTAAACCAATGACTTGTTGTTTAAGGTACCTCAGAGATAAACTGTGAGACTGGAACTAATAAGTATTTAGGGAGTGTCCCGGAGGGATATACAGGTAAGAAATGTCCACAAGACTTAATAAACTAACTATGTATAAACTAGTCTACAATATTAGTTTTTCATTTACAAGCAACAATTTGTTTTTTGATTAATGTAATATTAAAGGGGTCATGAACTGCATTTAGTATTTTAGAATGTTTCCTATGCACTTATTACATTACTCAGATTTTTACATCAAAAATTATTTAGAAATAAAATGCATTTTTCCTACCCTTATTTTAGCCCTCTGATTGGAAGCTTGTTTCTGCCACCGGATAAAAAACAAAACAAAAAAAACAATTGACTTTTTATCTCAGATTTGTGTGATATAAAGATGTAATTTCGAGTTATTAAGCCAGAATTGCGTGATATAAAGTCAGAATTGAGTAATAAAAAGTCGCAATTGCAAGTTATTAAGTCAGAATTGTGAGTTATAAAGTCAAAATAAAGTGTTATAAAGTCTCAATTGCGAGTCAAAAAAAGTCAGAATCGCGAGATATAAAGTCGGAAATTGCGAGTTAAAAAGTCAGAATTGCGTGATATCAAGTCAGAATTGCGAGTTATAGTCAGAATTGCGAGTTATAGTCAGAATTGCGAGTTGTACAGTCAGAATTGCGAGTTATAGTCAGAATTGTGAGTTATAAAGTCAGAATTGTGAGTTAAAAAGTCATAATTTCTTGTTATAAAGTCAGAATTGCGTGATATCAATTCAGAATTGCGAGTTATAATGTCGCAATTGATATAAAGTCGCGATATAAAGTCGCACTCGCAATTGCGAATTATAAAGTCAGAATTGCGAGATATAAAAAAGTCATAATTGCAAGTTATAAAGTCAGAATTGCGTGTTATAAAGTCACAATTGCAAGTTATAAAGTCAGAATTGCGTGTTATAAAGTCATAATTGCGTGTTATAAAGTCATTATTGCGTGATTATAAAGTCAGAATTTGCGTGATATAAAGTCGCAATTGCGAGTTATAAAGTCAGAATTGCGTGTTATAAAGTCATTATTGCGTGATTATAAAGTCAGAATTTGCGTGATATAAAGTCGCAATTGCGAGTTATAAAGTCAGAATTACGTGATATAAAGTCAGAATTGTGAGATATAAAGTCAGAATTGCGAGATATAAAGTCAGAATTGCGGGATATAAAGTCAGAAATCCGTGATATAGTCAGAATTGCATGATATAAAGTCAGAATTGTGAGATATAAAGTCAGAATTACGTGATATAAAGTCAGAATAGCGAGTTATAAAGTTAGAATTGCGTGATATAAAGTCAGAATTGTGTGATATAAAGTCAGAATAGCGAGTTATAAAGTCAGAATTGCGTGATATAAAGTCAGAATTGCGTGATATAAAGTCAGAATTGCGAGATATAAAGTCAGAATTCAGTGATAAAAAGTTGTAATTGCAAGTTATGAAGTCAGAATTGAGTGTAATAAAGCAATTCACTTTTATATTTTTTATTCAGTGGTGGAAACCATCTTCCATAGTTGCAGCTGCAGGCAGTGCTTTGATAAAGACAATACTACGCTCTCTCAAAGTCCGTGGCCAATTGCTGAAGACCTTCGTTATGGAAAATATAAATGTCCACAGAAAGAATTTTTTTCTCAATCTCAAAAGTAAGTTAGTTGAATGACCTTAAGAATAGGGGTCGGGTCATCTGGGAGGTCATTGGCAAAGGGAGCGTTCTTTGATTGTTTTCTGGATATAATTTAATCACAATGTAAATAACAGAAACAATGTGAAGGCTTGATTTACTGACACAACAAGGATGTCTTGAGTTCTAAAACTAACAGGATGTTTTTATTTTTCTCATTGTCAATTCATGACCCCTTTAATGTTTTATTAATGTACTGTAGTGTTTTAATGTTGTGGTCATTTGAAACACTTTTCCGTCTGGGCGCAGCATTACAAGTATTACAAGTAGTAATGATTGATCAATACTGGCATTATGTTTTAGACAGTCTATGAAGAGTATTAAAATATGCATCTGATCTGGCCTTCAGGAAATGTAGAGATTATCACTAATATCGGACCTGATGATCGTCTGGTGCTGGAGGGATATTTTGATTCCATTGCTGAAAACTTTCTGGAGCTGATTTACTTCAATGGAACCTCAAACGCTACTGTACGAACCATCAAACCACTGGATGCTGATGAACTTAAGGAGGTTTGTTTCACTATTATATTTGTTAGATAAAGTATATAAATATAAAAAGAACATAACCATACATATTACTTTTATAATGGAAGAAAGTGCCACATACTGTGTGTCTCTTTGTGTGTTTTATTTCTTCCAGTCGGGAGGGAGTTTGTATTATTCAGTGACCTGCTCAAACACAGGGGTATGTTTATTTACACATTAGCATAATTCAATAAGAATGATGGAAATAGGTATCCTCACATAAATCTTCATTACAAATATTTCATTGTGGATTTCAGCTGAAAAATGCACGGGCGCTAGATATTCAGGATGTCAATGACAATCCTCCGATCTTCCAGAATAAAACATACAGCGCCACAGTGTCAGAGGTGTGTGTAATGTCACATCTTTAAACAGCAGAAGTGTGTTTGGTCACTCAGAGACTCGCATCTCTTTGTAAACTGTGTCTTTTGCTCCAGACGACAGCTGTGGGTTCAGATGTGCTCAGGGTTATAGCGGAAGATGCTGATGTTTCTCCAGAAAAAAACAATATTACATATTCTATACAGGTGAGTCTAATTTGATATAATACAAACATAACAGGCTTTCACAAAAGTAAAATTATAGAATACCGTGATAGTAGACATGTTCCTGGAACTACATTTCTCTGAAAACTTGACCTATGATTTGCTACATAGCTGGACAAAAAGTGCAAAAATAATCATACATGTTTGATCCATTTTCCCAAAAAAGAAAAACTAAATTTAAGAGATAAAATTGGATCTGCTTTATATGCGTATGCTCACTTTTGTTTAGAAGACTACCATATAGATACTGTTATAGATTTTTACTCAAACCTAACTATTATAGATTTGTTTCCCTAAAATGAACTATACTACCACAACTCATACGCTAGCACGTCTAGATATATTGCCATTTCCAGACGACTACAGCCGAGTCGATAATTCTAACTTACTTGTTTTCTTGCTGTGCAGACAGACAGACTTGAGTAACTGTCCTTTAAATGCTTATTATTATGGCCAGGAGTTCTCGAGCAGTTCTCAGAGAATCTCAAACAAAAAGCAGAATACAGCCAGACACATCAAAATAGAATCACCATGACTAACATGTCAAGCTCTGTTAATCATGCTCTGTGATTGGTTAATTGTTTACAAAAAACTTTAATTTAATTTTAAATGATTTCTAAGTTAATTTTATTATATGCCGGTTAATCAATGTTTTAAAATTTTTGAAATATTTAATATAGATGCTAAATGGTAAATGGACTGCATTTATATAGCGCTTTCATAGACCTAATGGCCACCAAAGCGCTTTACATTTGCCTCACATTCACCCATTCACACACTCATTCACACACCGACGGCGGTGTCAGCCATGCAAGGCGCCAGCCAGCTCGTCGGGAGCAGCTGGGGTTAGGTGTCTTGCTCATGGACACCTCGACACTTGGTCAGGTGGAACCGAGGATTGAACCACCAACCTTTCGGTTTGTAGACAACCTACATGAACCACTGAGGCACTGCCGCCCCTAGATCATATTTAACACCAATGTATTCAGTTATTTTTTAGAAAATATATAAATATTTGAGTGTAATAATGCGTGAGCTCAGTTTGTGTCATTTAAATCATGTCTTGACAGTCTCCAGCACCAGATGAATTTGAAGTGAGAAGTGACGGAAACATCAGGTTGAAACAACGTCTGAACTACGACAATGCTCAAGAGTACATCTTCACTGTGCAAGCTACAGACAAAGTAAAGACAAACTTTGACATGCCAGTCCCACATCCATTTTACTAAGCATTGCTTTACATTTAAAGGAATAGTTTTCCAAGAGTGAAAATTATTTTACTCACCCACAAAAGTTGTCACTGGGGCATTACTCTTACAAAAGGTACACCTTTGTATCCTTCTTTACACCTAAACGGTGCAGGCATAGCCTATTATTACAACGCATTCTCATCCCAGGGCGTCATATATGACACTTTTGACAATGCATTATATCTAACGCACATGGCACCCTTTAGTGTCAATATAACACGCTTCGGTTATGGGTAGGTTTAGGTCTGGGGTAGGGTTAGGGTTAGACCACTAGGAGGCGCCTTCTGGCCCATATATATCTGCGTCTCATATTGACGATATCTTGGGATGAGAATGGGCTCATTGTTACAAATATATGTAATACATTTTGAAAGGGTGCCACTCCATTTCCCTTTTTTCTAAGAGTGCAGGACTTACTTTCTTCTGTTTAGTAGAATTGTACAAACTGCTATTTCCCATTCATTGAAATATAATTTTTTTGGATGAACTATCATTTTAATGTAGATAGTATTAAAACACTATGTTTCCTTGCAGGACAAAGAAGAATTCAGTGACACCACAACAGTTACAATAACAGTTGAAGATTTTGACAATCTAAACCCTTATTTTGATCACAGTTTCTACAAGGCATCCATTGAGGAAAATCAGGTAAATGACGTCATGATCAATATTTAAACGCATGTCTGATCAAACAAATGAACCCTTCATGTCTTTTCTGTCCATGCACAGGTAGGACCGTTTTCAGAAGTCACTCCTGAGGCCATAAAAGCTCAAGATGGCGACACGGGCATCAACGAGACTGTACTTTACAACATAACAGCAGGTGATAACACACTTACATGACACGAGTCCTAATATAAATAACCTCCTCCACCTGTTTCCAAATAAAGTTTTACTGTAGATGCGTGAGAGCAAGAGTGAAACACTGATTTTAATTCTGATAATAAATCTACCTAACTCTAGTCAAGCACAGTAATTGTGATAAAACAAGTACTTTACACTGCTAATAACACACTTCCGTTTGAATAAAGAAATATAGTCATATTCTATATTAAGTTTCTGATAATAACACAGCAAATATCCACATTTCTGTTCCAGTCATTCCAAATGAATATCAGAGTAACTTTGACATCAATCAAAACAGTGGAGTCATCTTTGTGAAAACGGCACTAGACAGAGAGGAAATCGACCAGATAACGGTTTACATACAGGTATCAGACGTTTCTGAAGACATTCATGAATCTAAAGAGGTTTCAGTAATGTGTTTGTTAATATTTTCTATTCATGATTTCCTTATAAATAGGCAACTCAGCAGGATGATGCCAGTAAGACGGCTAACACTGTGGTGTCCGTCACCATTGAGGATGTGAACGACAACCCTCCAAAATTTGACCAGGATGAGTACACCGTATCTATTCTGGAAAATTCACCACAGTCTCAGTTTGTGCTTCAGACTAGAGTCACTGATCTAGACCTGGTACAGTTCCTGAAAACATCACTGTCTCTTTGTAAAGTAGATAAAAAACACAAAAATAAAAAATACAGTAAACCATTTTTAAACACCAAAAATGATGATCCAATCATCCAGAGCTACCAACAACTCAAAAAAACTAAGCAACCACTTAACCACACATTAACAAATTCGAACACCTCAAAGGGTTAGTTCACCCAAAAATCAAGTGTAGCACCAGTTCTGGCAGGTCACGTTAGTCAAGCTTGCATCACCTGACTCTCAGCTGATCCACGTCTACCTACAGGAATATGACGCCTATCACTGTATACATACTGTATATAAGCTCCTCAGTAATTTTATCAGCAGTAATATCAAAGTCTAGTTATACTCGAAGTGTACTCAAAGTATACTCAAAGTGAACACTTTGAATCCATTCGCGCGTCAAGAGCGAAATTGACGTTCGTAAAAAAACAAAAGTTTAGACTGTCTGCCAGCACATTCACTGTCCTCGCGGCTGCGGCTGCTGCAACTTGAGGGGGCTGGCTGCAGGACGACTCAACTTCCACAGACAGTTTTTTAATGTTTTATATCAAGATTTTGCTTTAGTATAATTTTCGGGACAATTAAGGCCGGTTTCGGAATTCGGGACAGCAGCTTAGATTTCGGGACTTCTGGTCTCCCTATGCATACTGCACCTTTAAAACTCTCATCTAACTCCCCAAGTCTTCAAACTTAAACCAAGCTGATATAAACTTCCATTTAAGGCTTTGTCAAGCCAACATTCAAAGTTTGTTTTAATGTACTTACCTTATCTAGTTTTCTCTCCGATCAGGGTGGGTTCTCCAAAGGTCACTTTATCATGGTTAGCGATACCTTCGCTATCAACAGTCAAGGAGTAATATCACTTCGGAGCGACGCTACCTTGGATAGAGAAACTGTAGACAGTTACATCCTACAGGTACAAAAGCAATCACATTCATTTCTTAAATGCAACTACTTACAAAATGTTCAGGATGACTATTCATTCTTTATGGGATGCTTGCGTTGTCTTTCTCAGGTTGTAGCTGTAGACCAGCCTGTCGATGGTTTAAGCTCCACAGCTCAGGTCATCATTACTGTTCTGGACCTCAATGACAACAACCCACAATTCCTTCCTCTCCCAGAGATCATTGAGATTCAGGAAGGTGTGTACACATCCTCATCACCTGGAGATGTGAGCAAAATCTCAGCCACAGATGCTGACATTGGAGACAACGGTCGTGTCACCATCACTACTTTCTCACAGAATGAAATATTCAGATTCAGAGAGGTAAGGGGACTTAATCAGTACATGATATCTACAGTCTATGACATATTTTTATAAACATGACATTGTAATGTTCAGATCTTATAAAAACATGTTAATTTCCTTCACTTGTAGGATGGGACTCTACTAGCTATTGAGGAGCTGGATCGAGAGACACAGGATGTGTATGATGTGGTCATTGTTGCTATGGATCATGCAATCCCACAGAGAAATGTACATTGTACATCATTTCTATTCATTTGTATTATTGCATGATGTAAATGTATGTTGTTCCATACAAATAGTGAATGTATTGATTGTGAAGTGTAGTGTGTTCCCACCTTAATACTGTAAATATGTCCACAAAGAGGCAGAAAAATTCTAGTTCTAATGTAGTGCTATTGTTACTACAGTTATGCCAGCACAAAACATTTACAGAGTTAAAACTGGGGGGCCATTTCACAATGGCATTACCTCAGATTGTTAACAGATTGCCCACAGATTGCCTGATGCATATTTTTTTTAAAAGCCCGCTCATCACACACACACAAAAAAAAAAGAACTCATGGCTATAACATAAGATTTTGGATAACACTTTAGAATATGATTCCATTAGTTAAGGTTATTTGATCCATTAACTAATATTTACTAACAATGAGCAACAGTTACGGACTGCCCTGAGACTTGGGTTGAAGATCCAAATGCAGCTTTATTAGGACAATCCAGAATCGTAATCCATTTTACGAGCAAAGGGTCAAACACATGGACAAATAATCCAAAAAATCAACAATCCAAATGTATTCCAGTCCAGTAACCTAATCCAGTATTCCAGTATTACAGACGCTCCAGTATTACAGACGCTCCAGTATTCCTGATTCCAGACGCTCCAGTATTCCAGACTCTCCAGTATTCCAGATTCCAGACGCTCCAGTATTCCAGACTCTCCAGTATTCCAGATTCCAGACGCTCCAGTATTCCGGATGCTCCAGTATTCCAGACTCTCCAGTATTCCAGATTCCAGACACTCCAGTATTCCAGATGCTCCAGTATTCCAGATGCTCCAGTATTCTGGACGCTCCTGTATTCCAGATGCTCCAGTATTCCAGATGCTCTAGTATTCCGGACGCTCCTGTATTCCAGATGCTCCAGTATTCCAGATTCCAGACGCTCCAGTATTACAGACGCTCCAGTATTACAGATGCTCCAGTATTCCAGATTCCAGATGCTCCAGTATTCCAGACTCTCCAGTATTCCAGATTCCAGACGCTCCAGTATTCCGGATGCTCCAGTATTCCAGACTCTCCAGTATTCCAGATTCCAGACACTCCAGTATTCCAGATGCTCCAGTATTCCAGATGCTCCAGTATTCTGGACGCTCCTGTATTCCAGATGCTCCAGTATTCCAGATGCTCTAGTATTCCGGACGCTCCTGTATTCCAGATGCTCCAGTATTCCAGATTCCAGACGCTCCAGTATTCCAGATGCTCCAGTATTCCAGATGCTCCAGTATTACAAACACTCCAGTATTACAGAATCCAGTATTCCAGATGCTCCAGTATTCCAGACGCTCCAGTATTTTGGATGCTCCTGTATTCCAGATGCTCCAGTATTCCAGACGCTCCAGTAATCCAGATGCTCCAGTATTACAAACACTCCAGTATTACAGAATCCAGTATTCCAGACTCTCCAGTATTCTAGAGTAGACTCTGCAAAATTCCAGAATCCAGTATTCCAGACCCTACAGTATTCCAGACGCTCCAGTATTACAGAATCCAGTATTCCAGACTCTCCAGTATTCCAGACCCTACAGTATTCCAGACCCTACAGTATTCCAGACGCTCCAGTATTACAGAATCCAGTATTCCAGACTCTCCAGTATTCCAGACCCTACAGTATTCCAGACCCTACAGTATTCCAGACCCCACAGTATTCCAGACGCTCCAGTATTCCAGACCCTCCAGTATTTCAGACTCTCCAGTATTCCAGAATCCAGTGTTTCAGACTCTCCAGTATTCCAGATGCTCCAGTATCCCAGACCCTCCAGTATTCCAGACTCTCCAATATTCCAGAATCCAGTGTTCCAGATGCTCCAGTATTCCAAACCCTCCAGTATTCCAGACTCTCCAGTATTCAAGAATCCAGTGTTCCAGACTCTCCAGTATTCCAGATGCTCCAGTATTCCAGACCCTCCAATATTCCAGAATCCAGTGTTCCAGACTCTCCACTTTTCCAGATGCTCCAGTATTCCAGACCCTCCAGTATTCTAGAATCCAGTGTTCCAGACCCTCCAGTATTCCAGATGATCCAGTATTCCAGGCCCTTCAGTATTCCAGAATCCAGTGTTCCAGACTCTCCAGTGTTCCAGACTCTCCAGTATTTCAGACCCTCCAGTATTCCAGAATCCAGTGTTCCAGACTCTCCAGTGTTCCAGACTCTCCAGTATTTCAGACCCTCCAGTATTCCAGACCCCAGTGTTCCAGACTCTCCAGTATTTCAGACCCTCCAGTATTCCAGAATCCAGTGTTCCAGACTCTCCAGTGTTCCAGACTCTCCAGTATTTCAGACCCTCCAGTATTCCAGACCCCAGTGTTCCAGACTCTCCAGTATTCCAGATGCTCCAGTATTCCAGACTCTCCAGTATTCCAGATGCTCCAGTATTCCAGACTCTCCAGTATTCCAGATGCTCCAGTATTCCAGACACTCCAGTATTTCAGACCCTCCAGTATTCCAGACCCCAGTGTTCCAGACTCTCCAGTATTCCAGATGCTCCAGTATTCCAGACTCTCCAATATTCCAGATGCTCCAGTATTCCAGACTCTCCAGTATTCCAGAATCCAGTGTTCCAGACCCTCCAGTATTCCAGATGCTCCAGTATTCCAGATCCTCCAGTTTTCCAGATGCTCCAGTATTACAGACGCTCCAGTATTACAGAATCCAGTATTCCAGACGTTCTAGTATTCCAGACGCTCCTCAAACAGGTGCAGCGTCTATGATGGCTGGAGACTCTGGTGTGGCCGCCATGTCGTGGAGAGGCTCTGGACTTGGTACCCCCGGTTAGGGAAGCGCTGAGAGCACTGGACTTGCTATCACCAGACTTGGAAGTGCTGGACTCTTGGATTGGCCAATGATGCACAACCCAACCCCCACCCCCAAACCACTTAATTGGAGGGCGTAGTCCATGAACTTGGCCTGCGATCCTTGAGGACCATCATGGCCCGCACTGATTCGAGCTCCAGAGCAGACTTCTTCCCGACAGTGGCGTAACATCACAAAAGTGCAGACTCGTAGGAAGACCGCGAGTGTTTAGGGTGCCATTTGAGACAGGGCCATTAGGGCCTGCTCAGATACCCAGCTTGAAGATCCAAATGCAGCTTTATTGTGACAATCCAGAATCGTAATCCATATAACAAGCAAATGGGTGCTAATAATGGGTCCAAATTGGGCTCTAAGAGGGTCTGATTTAGATGTTAATTTCATGGGCTCACTTGAGTAGCAAATGGGTGCTAATAATGGGTCCAAATTGGGCTACACACAAAAACCTTATGGGGCAACATTAGGTTTTTTTGTGTGAGTGTGTGGGACCACAGTGGGTGAAAACTGGGACACATTTATTACTTTCTTGAAGGATTCCAGTGGGACAAATAAAACATTAAAAAACCTTATATTAGCAGCACCCATTTGCAACCCAAGTTAGCCCATTTAATAAACATATAAATGGGCCCAACATCAATGGGGGCCACATGGAGCAGATGGAGAATTTTATTTTGGGCCCCATTTGGATTACAGGGCACAAGTGACAGCCCAACAAAAATCCCAGATGGGGCCCACATGGAAATGTTGGCTAGGGCATTAATTTCGTCCTTAAAATATCTAATTTGAGGTTGGGATTTGTCCATCCCTAAATGGCACACAAATATGCAAAAAGAAGCTGCACTATGTACTAGATTGTATGCGTTTGTAAAAAAGGCTGTATTTCTTATACTAGTTCAGTCCTTACAAGTAAATTATTGGTAATTCCACACATTAATTGTGGATTCTCGACATTGCAAATATGAACTTTTGGTCTGCACTACAAAGGATTTTTTGGGTTCATTTTCTGCAGAACATCACCAAAGTGAGGGTCAGTATCACAGACGTCAATGACAACGCTCCAGTTTTCAGCTCTGACACATACAGCAAAAGCATTCTGGTTAAAGATGGCAAGGTTGGAGAGGTGCTGCTGACGCTCTCGGCCACAGATAAAGACGCTGGAAACAACTCGCTAATTAGCTACAGGTAAGCTTAAGACTAAACTCCCATTAGGATCATCAATATGAAGGCTAAACCATGAACACACTTACCTACATAACTCCTTTGTTGTGTTTCTGTAGTTTCTCCGAAGACTCCTCAATGGTCGCATTGGATGCTGACACAGGAGACATCACTTTGACCTCTGACCTTGGCGAGGTCACAGAAAACACGCTGCTAACCCTCACTGCTATAGCGACAGATCATGGAACACCACCAAAATCTGATGAAGGTTTGGGCTTCATAACAATATTGTTGTTCTTCCTTAGGAGCTCTCTCTAGTGTAGTGTGATCCCACCTACTGTATGTCCACAAAGAGGCACAAAAAGGGCTAGTTCTAGTAGTGTTGTTAATGCAGTTTATGCCAGCACAAAACTTATATAGAGTTAAAACTGGGGGGTCATTTCACATTATTGGAAATAACATATAGAGCTACAATAGTCTCAAAATGAATGTATTAACAAAATATGATTCACAAATGCGTAAGCATATATATTCTATATTTACAAACACATCATTTTAATTCACATTTTAATTCAAGTATTTATGTGTACAAATTGATTGTTGAATTTGCAAATAGTGTGTATGTGTGGATCACTGTGGATTTGTATGTGAATTTTGTGCGTGTGAATTATCTTTTTTACATCATATTTTACAAATGAATACATTTTGAGACTATTTCAGCTCCAAATCAAACAGCTGTGGCACTTTTTGGGGGGTATTTATTCACTTTTTTTCTATTCTTTTTTCTTTTGATCTATTTTGTTTAGATTTCAGCACAAATTGTTCTAAATCTTGTAAAACACTGCCTAAATCTAAAGTGAGTCCTGCATCTTGTGCACGTTATGGTACATTTGTGTCTCAAACGCGTGCCCTTGGTTTGCATTTAAAAATCAACCTGACCTCAATAGAACATGTCAAAACGAACATCTTTCTTCTCTCTGTAGCCGAAGTCTTGATCTACTTCAAAATTGCTCCTGTCAATGAGAGTGTGAGTTTTGAAAGCTCCTCCTACAACTTCACAATAAAAGAGAATGAACCTGAGGCCTCAACAGTCGGGACGGTCAAGGCATTAACAGGAAGTCCACTGGTTTCGGTCAGCTATAACATGAAGTCACATCAGGATGTCTTCTCTGTGGATGGTGAGGGAACCATAAAAGCTCTGAGACCACTGGACAAGGAGGAAGAGGAGTGGTACATCCTCACAGTAGAAGCCATAGACTCCCGAACTCCTGCAAACACTGCAGAGACAATGGTACTGTTCTTATTTTAAATTAAGGCCAGAAACAAACTCTACACAAGTGCACAATTTATGTTAATGCATAGTGTATTTTGTTCAAATGTATGTTAATGCCCGCTGCATCCCCCATTCTCGTACTTACCTAGAGAATGTTTTTATTCTTACTCTTAAAGTCTTACTCTTCAAGTACAGCATAGTCAAAAGTTTTTCTTCTTAAAAGAAAGCTGTCACAGGGGTCATTTATATTTGTATTTGACTTTTTTCTCTCACAATCTTCAGGTCAGTGTTCAGGTTGAGAACGTGAATGAGGCTCCTGTGTTTGACGGTGAAATATATAAAGCAGAGATTTTCAGCATCTCTCCATACAAATATCCTATAGTGAAGGTCCAGGTGAGTGTGGCTTGGCATATTCATCATACATAAATGCAATGGATGTAGTTCGATCTTTTTTAAATATAGTACTGTTTGCTAAGGTAAGCATTACCAATGTTATTGCTTACAAGTAGAGTTTATACCCTAGCATCATGGCACCCTAGCATCAAAGCACAAAATTGTAGATATTATAAACAATAAACTAGACAAATTGTTATTTGCAAGTAATACAATGTATTTTTTTGTATTTACATGTACGTACCTGGTTGAAATGTGGTGTGTCCCTCAGGCATGGGACCCTGATGTGGGCGAGAGCTCAGAACTGAAGTATTCCCTGGTGGAGTCCACAACTCTGCTGGATGTGGAGGCAAGCACTGGTCAAGTCTACGTACTGGATGCATCCAGATTCAGAGACAATCAGTTGACCTTACAGGTTAAAGCCACTGATAAACATGGGCTGTTCACGACTACAACACTACAGGTGAGCAGAAACAGAGGGAGAAAAAAGAGTAAGCTTTTGTAAGACTGTTTCAAATGACCAATGGCATTGATTGAGAAGAGAACACCTTTACAAAGATGGGCTTCTTGTGTTTGCCACATGCAGATCGAAGTAAAACAAAGTGTACATCGTGGCAGCGTCTCAGTAATCTCCCTAAACCAGCCCATATACATAGTGGAGAAGAATATACCAGAGATGGAAGAGTGAGTAATCTCTATTTGATATTGAAACGTCTTATTAAGATAGAATAAGAGCATTTCATTTGTGAAGTGTTAATGTGTTTTGAGCTGAGAGGAAACATGTTTGAGGATTAATAGCTTGTTTTCATATGACGTCACGCCACTGCGTTGCCATGGCGTGAAACACAGATGGAGGGCAGGAAGTGATTTGCTGCATTTAGAAAGCACTATAACAAACTCAAAATGCCTGTGTTTTGAGTCATTTATAGTTACTTGAATTGATCAAACCACAAGGAGTTTTTATCATGTACCAAAAGTTGTTTGAAAATGCAAGAAATTGATTGAAAAACTCTGGAAAATCGGCCTGCAAACAAACCTATGTCTGCGGTCGGGAGGAGCCGAATGGTAAAATGCACGTCTGTGTAACGTTAGTGATCACTTCGTCAAAGGTGAGTTAATACAACTTAAGTTTGTGTAACGTGTGACGTTTCCGAACTTCGTAAAGTCAAAGTATGTCTGCAAGACGAGGTAGTTGCTGATATCTACAGCGTTGATGGCAGGAAAATAGTTCAAATCAGTTGAAAAATCGCTCCTCTTTATAACGTAAGGATCACGTCCAATATATGTTTGATTTTTTGTTTATTTCTTTCTCTTGTAATAGCGTGTAAAGTAGTACAGTACGGACTTTCCTCCATCTCTTCCATTGTGCTCTTCACTCATCTGCATTCCGCACGTCATCATAATCACGTGACTGAAACCCAGCTATTAACCCAAAAATAATTTATTTTACCCACCCTCATGGGGTTTCTAATCTGTGTGTTCTGCTATGTTTTCAAAGAAAATGTCAAAGAGTTCTTTTCCACACAAAAAAAAGAAAAAGAAATTGAATTTTTTTTTTTAAATTACTGAAAAGCTTCCCATCAAGTGAGTTCAGTCAGGGTGTCAAATAAAAAAAAAAATGGATCGATCGTGAGCTAAATGTTATTTTAAGCCAGTTCTTAAAGGGGTCATGAACTGGCTTTTTACATTTTATTATATTGTTGTCTGAGGTCAACTTATGACGTTCGCTTGGTTTTTGCATTCAAAAACATTTTCTACTCTAGTTTTGAGCCTAATTTTTATGGGCGTCTCGCACTGAGACTTGGAAGTAAACGCCCACTGCTGTGAGTGGATACAGTTTTGCATATTATAATGAGTTTCGACTCACTCATCGGTGTACATGGGGGAAATTGTTTTGAAAACGTCCAATGTTGTAAAATGTAAACCGGAATGATTCGCCCATACATGTTCGACCCAGAGTCCGTGTGTTGCACAATTCCTGTCAGATCTAATATAGACGGCACAGCACCGTTCTTTACTCTTAATCGTCTGCAAATCCAGTCTTCTTTACAAAACAATCCTCAGTGAAATGAAGCCAACAGACGGACTCGGTAGCTCGATCAGGTTTGTTATGACGAGGTAAGCCTAAGTTATTTAGCTATGCGTGTAATGCGCAAATCGGTGGGCGGGGCTAAATCGGTGGGCGGGGCCGGCCGTGTTGAAGTAGGCGTTGATCTTCTTCTGCAGTCATAGTTCCCCACTTTGAAAAACGATTCGTTTGCTGAGCCTGGTGTCAATAAAAGCTGTGATTGGACTAACAAGGACGTTTTCAGTTCTGAAACTTGCAGGATATTCTTATAATATGATGACCTCTTAGATGTAAAAAGCTCAAGGAAAATTTGATTTCTTAGTTCATCACCCCTTTAATTAATCATTTTTTTTTCTGTTTTGCACATTAGACTGAATTGGAACTTCAACTTCATGTTACCTCCCGTTATTGTTTTGTTTTCTGTTAGACCATCTGATAGTGTGCTTTTTCCTCAGTTCCATGGGGAAAGTTTTAGGCTGGACTGTGAAAATCCTCAGCGTGAGAGCTGAGGATGGGAATGAGATGCGCACCATTCTTAGTGAATCTACAGACCAAACTTACGTCAGTTTCATCGCCATGGACTCCAGTGGTGCGGTCATCCAAGCCACGGTGGTCAAAGAGTAAGTTGAACTAATACCAATTTATTAAGGCTATTCTAATGTGAAAGTTGAGTATGTGGAAATGGGGAAGAAAAAAGAAAACATGTTCACAATAAATACAGTTATAATGGTTGGAGCCGATAGCCCTGTGGTCAGTGGGTGTTTTGATTTTAAAGGCGTAGGCTGAATACACAAAAAAAACCGAAGTTTTCTACTACCCCTGTTTTCCCCTCACACACACATATAAGTGTGTAATTTACTTGAATGCCTTTCCTTTCATATATTTTAAATGACTTGCAGATTTATAACTGTATTACCTCATTATGACTGTAACAAAAGATGTGTGCCGCACAGTGTGCGGCTGATGCTCCTTTGGTTATGAACAGCTCGTGCAAACGTGCGTGTATGTGTGTGTGTTCCATGAGCGCGCACGCAGTTTCGCTTGTCGCCAGAGGGGGCGTAGTTCTGCAAAAACTCAGATTTGCACCTTTAACAAGAATATATATATATATATATATATATATATATATATATATATATATATATATATAAATATATATATATGAAAAATGAATGTATGAATGTTAATATGTGCATTAACAAAATATACTCTTCACAAACAATTCCCTCTGGCTTGATAGCATGAATTACATCTATTCTATGTAAATATATTAAGGATGAGAGTGTTATGGGCAGAAACTTAAATATCTTCTCTCCCACAGGAAACTGAACACTGAGAACAAAGAATTAACGTTTGAGCTGGAGAAAGTTTTTGGACCTGGTTTGGAAATCAAAGTGGAGGACAGTTCTGGAGGCTCTGGAGAATCCAGTCAAACCATCACAATCACTCTCATCGCTGTCAGTGTTGTGCTGGCTGTAGTCAGTGTGACTTTAGCGTTGAAGATTATCCATCTTGTCAGGTAAGATATTACATGTAACTGCAGTTTTTTTTTCCCCTTCTTTCTTCTTTTCTTTCCTTCCCTCTATCAGTGTGAATGTGTGTTTGACACAGAGTAAACTTTTTTCCAGAGAAAAGAATTCCTAATTGAAACTTAGTCAACATGATAACAGAATTGATTTTTAATATATTTGATTGATTTAAATTCTCTGTTCTGTTTCACCTGGACTGCCAGTAGTAGGTACAGCTTTCCTAAAATGCAGTAATGTAATGCTAGTTAGTGATAAAATTATGTTTCATGTTGACTTTGAACTTTGCTCATGATTTAGGAGTAATGTATATGTTTGTATATAATACATATATACAGTACATTATACATTGTTTTTGTATATAATACATATTTTTGCTGCCTCAGGAAAAAGGGGGCAGATTCTGACAGACAGAGTTTAAGTACTGGCATTGATTTACCTCAAAGGAAACACAGTCTTGACACCCTTGCTGACTTCAACACGTAAGAGCAAAAATATTGTTAAATATCTGATACAAATAGTTTGAAAAGATTGTTCTCAAATATAAAATATGCATCAGTTACCATGTTTTTATCTGCATTGATTTGTTCTGAGATGTTTGACTAAACATGTTTCTTCTTTTGTTAACAGAGACCAAGAACCAACAAAGGTAAAGGCCTTTGCTGTAACGACAAACTCATAGAGTATAATTCAGTGAGTATCTAAATTCTTATTTATAATTTTGTTCCACATGTTTTGTGTTTCCCAGGATGAGGTTACACAGAAATTTTGACAGAGAATCTGAGAATGTAAGTGATAATGGTGGAAACAGCATCTCTGCCCTCTGAAAACACCCTGATGGATCAAAGCTCCTCTTCTTCTCAGTGGTGTACAAGACTTCATGAACTTATGTCTTGATTAAGTAACATTTATAGCCCTGATCCTAAACTTGATCTGTAGGCAGCTGTTAAGGGTTGAGTTCTCAACATGGAGGAAACAACTCTAGCATCGGGACTTCTAAAGACAGAAATCAGGCTCTGGGCTTCAGCATTACAGGATTAACATCTCTGATCATGTGTCCTCAGTTCCAGGATCAGCCGTCAATGACAAACTCAAGTCACAACAGACACAACACAGGGCCAATTCCCTTCAAAGAGACGAGCATCACTCTGCTCCACTCATTACGCATTACTGTCTCACAGTGGCTGTCTGGATCACCCGACATGAAGCCGGACGTCACTGACACTTTATTCTCATTTGAAAAGTTATTTTAAAACAGAATTCATACTGAAAAATACAACTGAAGAACTGCCAAATGTATAAATGTAAATAAATGTTTAAATAAATAAATATTGTATATATTTTATATATATATATATATATATATATATATATATATATTGTATATATATATATATATAAATATAAATATGTAAATAAATATTTTTTTATTTATGTAGACTCTGTCTTTAATTCACATTGATGTGGAATTTGGTAAAAAACTAACAAGGATTAAAAATGTGTTATGTTAAGAGATATTTAGTTAGATTTCCAGATAAAATATCAGATAATTTGTACTAATAATTGTACAATTACTTCTTTGAAGTGACCATGGCATTTAAATTTCAATAACGGTCTCATAAAAGGGCCATAAACTAAGGAATTTGGCGGCTTGCTTTAGTTTGGAATTATACTTCACATAACACACAGTCACCAAACTGTCTAATTGTCAAGATGAAAATAAAGTAAAATTGTATTGCATCTACGCACGCAGACCACCACTACCGATTGGACAGACTCAGGTTGGAATCTCCATTAGATTTGCATTAAGCTTCAGAGTGAATATAATAGAGCCTGGAGGCTTTTAACTTTAACATCTAAGTTATTGTTGTGGACAGTGGTCTTCTAAAAGTGTGTGTGTTTAATCAGCCTCACTGCTTTCATTTATTAGGCTTGGGCAGGAGATACAAAGGTGTTGTTTTTTTAGTACAAAAAGACAAATTTTACATACCATAACTCCTGGAGGGAAACAGCACCCTCTGAAGGTCAGGCGGAGCAGAGTGCTTCAACATTCAAAGAGACGATCACCTGTAAAAACAAATAAAAAGCAGTGCATGAGAAAGCAATACGTGCACCGTGTAAACAGGCCCTACGGAGCTGTGAGCTCAACTGTCTGTTAATAAACTGCGTCTTTAATGGACAGCCTTTACTGTCGCTTAGTTACGTGCATCCTGTCACAGTTTAAGCTGCCCTGTCAACCATCTTGTCACAGTTAAAATCCTCCACATTTAATTTCCTACCGTTTCAGGGAGAAATGTAGCGAAATAGACGGAAAATATGCAAATTGGGACGCAGTAATAAGACATTCAAAGACGACTAACTCCTATTATTACTTCTGTAGCTATGGGAAACTGCCTGCTACGAGCGGAATACTTCCCGCCTTCAAAGTAAAAGACCCAATCGCTGATTAGTAAAGTCATTGCGTCACTGCAGCTGCCGTTAAAATCTCCGGTTCCCATAGAAACCTACACGCACATTGACTGGTCTAGCCTGAAAAATAAGCCATTTAACGTTATTTCAGGATTAAAAACAACATTTGGGCCGGTTAATGTCAGATTTTGTCGTAGATTTGAAATGTTGTTTAATTGAAAGTCTATCAGATTTAAGAATTCCCCCATTTAAACAGATAGGACTTTTTTTGATGCCCAAAATAGGGACTTGATGGACACTTTTCTATCCCATGATCAAGATGAGGCTGGATATTAATATTAATATCCTCAATATTTAGGATATTAGCTGAGCTCCAACCCTAATCAAACTCAACTGGAGCACCGAGAAGGGTAAAAACCTTTGCTGTAACTCTGTTACAAGATTTATTTACTCAGAAAAGTAAAAAAACGCCGCAGTGTTTGGGTGCACCCCGTACTACAAAAACGCAAGAACCATGGGGAATTTCACCAGCTGATTCAGGAACTCCGCCTGGACAATGGGAGGTTCAAAGCCTATTTCAGAGTGGACAAGGACCAGTTTGATTAAATTTTAAGAAGAGGTAACAAAAATGGCGAGGAAGCTGATTGGTTGACGTGACACGTGACCTACGGTGCGCTTGCGGCATTCTGAAAAGTTGAGATGTTTTTATCTCGATGCGGCGCGGACCGGCCCTAAGCCCCTCCCCTTCCCGTCGACCACCGTGTGACCTTATAACGGAAAAATATTGTTTGGTAGTTGTCAATGGCGAGAGACAAATATTTTGATTTCATTTGAATTGTGCCCTGAATTACACAAAAGTTTGAAGTTAAACAAAAGTCAAGAAAGTTGCAGTTTGATGTAACCGTTGAGGTATAAGACTGTGAAAATACGTAATTACAAAGACTACAAACCCAAAGGCGCACATTTTCTCTCAATGAATGAAGCTAACTTTACTGAAGTAAACGTCTGTCATTGTTTCTAGTCATATGTTATAATCATAACGTTACGCCGTCACTCAGGGTGTTTTGTTCCAGACTGCACACATATGAGCAACGGATCTTGCTTGTTGTTTCGCTTCCTGGGAGATGAAGTTCATAGAGCGATTTTCACATAACACTAAATGTTACTCTTCTATTTATAACAAACTGTGACTTTCTTGACTTTCATAATTATTTTTTGAATTGACAACATGTGTAATTCAGGGCACAGTTCAGACGGAATAAAAATATAAGTTGTCTCTCGCCATTGTCTATCATACATATTTTTTACGAATTATGTCCTATGAGCTGGAAGTGGAGGGGCGGGACTTAGGCTCTCTAAGAAAACAAGTGAGTGAATTTGGACAATGAGTGCGCCGGAAGGCCGGCTGATTTAATCTATTTAAAAAAGGAATTTACCTGTATGATGTTATGCTGTTGCCACATTGGACCAGTGGTTTGGAAAATGGATGGATGCTTCAGCTGCTGGCGCATCTTCTGGCGAGACATGGGAATTAATTTGATGCAACCGTTACAGTGCATTATGGGTATTTTCTAACTGTCTAACTGTTGATTGCTGTACCTCAGCTTAACCAGTGAAATTGACTGATGTGTGTTGAACAGCGTGCTAATGGCAGTTTAGGAGATAATCAGTTACGATTATGCAACGAGATCGCTGAGCCGGGCCATCCAAATAGCATATTTGACCCGTTCTCATTCCAAGGCGTCATATACGACGCTTTTGCCAAAGCATAGACATCCAACGCACATGGCACCCTTTAGCGTCAAATGAGACGCAGATATATATGGGGCAGAAGGCGCCTCCTAGTGGTCTAACCGTAACCCTACACCATACCTAAACCTACCATAACCGAAGCGTCTCATTTGACGCTAAAGGGTGCCGCCATGTGTGTTGGAGGTCTACGCTTTGGCAAGTGTCGTATATGACGCCTTGGGATGAGAATGCGTTGCATATTTTACTAATTTTTATTTTAGAACTACTAGAAATTAAGTTAAATTTATGAACTTTTATTTTGAAATATAAATTGATGACGATTGACTGAAGCCAGAGCCAATGGAGAAAGTCTTTGCGTGTGGAGACTCCGCCCCCTTTCAGAGGTTCTGCCCACTTTAGGAGATCTTATATACCTAAGAAGCAGCCAATCAAGATATTCAGGATCACTAGAAAACACACACAGGTTGTAAACTCTGCAGGAAAGTGGCTCTGCGGGAGCAGGGTTATAGTCCTCTGCACTCATGCATAAACTGATCAATTTAGCAGTTTTGATCCCTTCTTCCAGCAGATTAAGAGACACCAAATTGAGTTTTTGTCACACCTTTTCATCTGCATGCATTTATATATCATCATCACAAGATATAATAATCTTTTATGTACAGTGTCATTGCGTGTGACCTTTGATTTGTTCCATGATGTCACTGAAATGTTGCTGTAATGAATATAACGCTGGTTCGGATAAGCAAGGCTCATAACTCGTAAGCAGAGATAATATTGTGTTGGCAGTAGCAACATGAAATAAAAGCATATCGGTTTGTTTAGTTATCGAGCAGAGCTGGGTGTGAATTATTCATTGTTGTCACATATCTTTACAGCCTGCTCAATTTCAGGCCAAAGTCCAGCAAAAAATCTTTAGATTTATGGCAATGGATGAGTGCTTATTATTAAGGAAGAAATATGTAAGCGTAACAGTTGTTACAAAATAAACTCGGACAGGGTGATCATTCCCCAACATGATCTTGTATATTTAAATCATCCTATTTTGTTGTTATGAGCAGATTTATTATCCTTCCTATTAATTCGCTCATCTACTAAATAAGTAAATAATTCAAGTTAAAATGATTCCATTATGTGACAGAAAAAAGAGGTGATCCAAGAAGCCATGTAAAGGTCAACAGCAAAGTCTATCGGTTTAAAATCTCAGATTTCCTCAAATAAACGTGTAACGTAACTATTTCCGTTCAGTCCCTCCCACATTACTCCTCATTATTGGTCTTTATGAAGCACCTTTGATACTTGACTACATCAGAGAATAACATGTTTATGGCATACAATAAGGAACAGCTCAGAGGGAGAAACTACACAAGGAATATTCATTCTCTCCCCTGCCAGTCTTCATAATACAGGCGGCACTGACAGTGAATTATGGAAAAGATGGATTTATTCTCGGTTTTATTTATTTTAGCTTGTCTTCATGTCCACAGTGCTAGGAGTGTTATTGGTAAGTCAAAATGTCTTCATAACCAGCTGAAGTATGAATTATAACTTCAAACATTTGGATGTGAGGCTTAACTTACTTTTATATATTTAGATCTAGCTGTTGTCTATACTGTTAAAAAACGCGTTTTACAGGACAAAGGTCTTCTAATTAAGTAAAAGTCAGGATTTAATTGGAAACTGCTTTATTTAATAAAATAAGTGAAATGATTTAACAATATGCACATTGGAGTAATATTAGTTTTCCAATCAGAGATTAGAAAGACAACTGTACCGTCCATGTCACCAGGATATCAATGGCCATGTTTAAATTGTTATTCATCTTGTTGTTAGTGAATTGTGTGATTCAGGGCATTTTGTGGGTGGTCGTGGCGTGTGAATCAAGCTTTAAGCGGTTTGTTAAGTCCTCAAACCAATGACTTGTTTCTGTTTAAGGTACTTTACCTATAAACTGTACAACTGGAACCAGTGGCAACATCGGGAATATTCAGGAGGGATATGAAGGTGAGAAATGCTTCTTTTCACATTTGTAAATGATTATTTGAAACAAAATAATTGATATTTGATCAAAAACCCTCTGTGGTCAATGCATTCGCTTGGGAATATTACAGGAGTAGTAATGCAAGAACAATACTGGAATTATCTAGTATTTATGTTTAGATTGTGTCTCAGAATATGTATCTGATCTGGCCTTCAGGAGTTGTAGAGATTATCACTAATATTGGACCTGATGATCGTCTGGTGCTGGAGCCACATCTCTTTCCCATTGGTGTAACATTTCTGGAGCTGATTTACTCGGGTGAAGACTCAACCCAAACGGTGCGAACCATCAAACCGCTGGATGCTGATGTACTAAAGGAGGTTTGTCCCTCACTGATACACATTTATAGAAAGAGAGAGACACATATATATTTAAGTAATTATCTCATTCCATTTTCTCAAATTTTATATCTTCAATAGGTAGTTGGTTGGTAGTATTACATTTTGTTTTTTTAATCTCATAAAGAAAGAAAGTGCAACTTGTCTCTTTGTGTGTGTTATTTCTTCTAGACAGGAGGGATTTTGTATTATTCACTCACTTGCCCAAACCTGTCGGTAAGTTTAAACTATAACATTATCAAATTATTTAATAAGACAAAGTATTCAGCTCATAAACTTTCAATATAACCGTCACTTCATTTTCCATTTCAGCTGAAAAACATCAGGACGTTAGAAGTTCAGGATGTCAATGACAATCCTCCGATCTTCCAGAGTAAAACATACAGCGCCACAGTGTCAGAGGTGTGTGTAATGTCACATCTTTAAACAGCAGAAGTGTGTTTGGTCACTCAGAGACTCACATCTCTTTGTAAACTGTGTCTTTTGCTCCAGACGACAGCTGTGGGTTCAGATGTGCTCAGGGTTAAAGCGGACGATGCAGATGTTTCTCCAGAAAACAACAGAATTGATTATTCTATAATTGTAAGTCATGAATTATTCCCATATATTTTATATAATATTATCACAGCAGGTTTACACAAAACTACTAATTTAATTGTAAGTTGAATTTCCAAAAGGGCTGTCAATCAATTAAACATTTAATCATGACAAATTTCATGTTTTCAAGTACTGTGTTGATACTTATTTTAAATGAAAAGATACTAAATAATATATAGTAAATCAGTAAGTTTTTCATCTTAATTTATCATTTCATCTTCATTAACAGCCTCCAGTACCAGATCATTTTGAAGTGAGACTTGACGGAAACATCAGGCTGAAACAACGTCTGAACTACAACAATGCTCAAAAGTACATCTTCACCGTGCAAGCTAAAGTAAAGACAAACTCTGACATACTAACCTCCACATCACGTTGATCACTAAGTCTCAAACTTGCTTTAGTAGTCTATTCTCTTAAAAGGAACAGTTCACGCAAAATTGAAATCTCGAGCAACACAAAAGGAGATGTTTAGCAGAATGTCTGTTTTTTTCCATATGGTGAAAGTGAACGGGCACCAGGAACAAACGAAAATTTTCATTTTGGATGAACTATAATTTGAAGTTAGAAAGTAATAAAAACCCTATGTTTCCTTGCAGGATATAGGAGATCTCAGTGACACCACAACAGTTACAATAACAGTTGAAGATTTTGACAATCTAAACCCTTATTTTGATCACAGTTTCTACAAGGCATCCATTGAGGAAAATCAGGTAAATGACGTCATGATCAATATTTAAACGCATGTCTGACCAAACAAATTAAACCCTTCATGTCTTTTCTGTCCATGCACAGGTAGGACCGTTTTCAGAAGTCACTCCTGAGGCCATAAAAGCTCAAGATGGCGACACGGGCATCAACCAGCCTGTACTTTACAGCATAACAGCAGGTGCTGTTAACAAAACACACTTGCATGACACGAGTCCTAATATAAATAACCTCCTCTACCTGTTTACAAATTAAGTTTATCTGTAGATGTGTGATTCTTATAATACAGAAAATTCCACCCAAATTAGTCAAGCACAGTAATTGTGATAAAACAAGTACTTTACACTGCTAATAACACATTTCTGTTTGAATAAACAAGTTTCTGATAATAACACAGCAAATATCCACATTTCTGTTCCAGTCATTCCAAATGAATATCAGAGCAACTTTGACATCGATCAAAACAGTGGAGTCATCTCTGTGAAAACGGCACTAGACAGAGAGCAAATCGAGCAGATAACGGTTCACATACAGGTATCAGACGTTTCTGAAGACATACATGAATCTGAAGAGGTTTCAGTAATGCGTTTGTTTATATTTTCTATTCATAATTTCCTTATAAATAGGCAACTCAGCAGGATGATGCCAGTAAGACGGCTAACACTGTGGTGTCCGTCACCATTGAGGATGTGGATGACAACCCTCCAAAATTTGACCAGGATGAGTACACCGTATCTATTCTGGAAAATTCACCACAGGATCAGTTTGTGCTTCAGACTAGAGTCACTGATCTAGACCTGGTACAGTTCCTGAAAACATCACTGTCTCTTTGTAAAGTAATATGCATGAGAAAAGAACTTACTAAGTGACTTCTTCTCTAGGGAGGATTTGTAGGAACATTCCGGATTATTCCAGAATCCGTACCTTTTTCCATTAGGACTGATGGAACGATTCTGGTGAAAAGTTCTGCGGACCTAGACAGAGAAACCACAACCAGCTTCAATTTTCAGGTAACAATGAGACTCATTTTATCATTATCACTATGATTCTTCAGAAATTAAGAATTATAATGCAATTAAACTGCGTTTTCATACACAACTGCGTAATAAGCAACATGGCAATTTTCTCTCCAAAATCTAAAGGTTGAAGCACAAGAAACCCCTCCTTCCACCAACAAAGCAACAGCCGAGGTGACCATCGTCCTGCTGGATGAGAATGATAATAGTCCACAGTTTACAACTTCTAAGTATCAGGGCAAAGTTTTCGGCAATCAGACGACTGGAATGCAGGTTGTCAAGGTGACAATTCAATATTTTGTTGAGTCATTTAATCGCTTTCCAGCACAATCAATATTTGAGTACATTTCTGGAAATTATGGAACCATTATGTCATTATAAGATGACTACTATACCATAAACATACTATACCCTTACATACAGGTCGAAGCAACAGACCTGGATGAAGGTCCAAATGGTGAAATCAGCTTCTCCATTGAGTTTGGAAATGAGGACGGCTTTTTCAGCATTAATGAGAATGATGGGGCGATTACGCTAGTTAAATTAATCCCACTCGAGGACAACAGAATCCTTCAGTTTTCACTCTATGTGACTGCAAAAGATGGTAAGTTATCATTTTATGGAGGTATACCTGGCTGTGGATACTTTCCTGTTGGCTTAAAATCCACTGCATTGCCTTCTCATACATTTAGGGGGCGCTATAAGCAGATCGACTTCTGCAATGGTGGATGTCAAGGCACCTGGAGATTCTCATCCTCAGTTCCTTCAGAAGACCTACCAGGGGAAAGTAGAGGAGGATCAGTCAGCGGCAGACATCGTCAAGGTCCTTACAGCTCAATAAGTTTCCTTATAAAATCCTCTATTCAGAAGGACTGGCTCTGTAACTGATATACAAACATTTGATGACAACAATATGGTCTAAATGACTACCAGCTAACTGACGAATGTTTATCTAAAGAATTAAAAACAGATAGAGATATTTTGACCAATCTTGGTATACTTATGGCGCTTTTCCACTGCTGGTACGGCTCATTACGGTTCAGGTCGGCGCATTACGGTTCGGCTCGCTTCGCTTTCCACTGCGTGGTACGACTCGGCTCGACACGGCACAGCTCGGTTCGCTTTAGCTCGATTGCTTTTCCACTGCAGTTTGTACCGCTTTTAAGTGGATGGGATTATAGACTGTTCGATAACAGCGACAGCGGTGGCTGTTACTGGCTATTTAAATCTAGCGGGTTTGGTTTCTCTTGTCGATGTCTATTGGTCGCAAATACAATGACGCTGGTACTGACGATTCTGTCTGACCAATCAGTGATCTGCAGTGTTTCACGTCACATTTTAGTACCGGTACGGTACGCTTGGAACCTCAACAGACCAGGTACCAATTAAAGCTAGCCGAAGCGAGCCATACTGTACCGTACCATGCAGTGGAAAAGCGCCAAAGCGTGCCGTACCGAACCGAACCGTACCATGCAGTGGAAAAGCACCATTTTGTGTCGGCTTAGTCTGAGGACACATGCAAAAATGGAAGATCCTGGCCACTTGGTCGGGAAAACATGGAACAGGAAAAAACATGGAACACTCTGGAACAATGTTACGATCTATTTTAAATTTTGCAAAGCGCATTGTCAAAGCTCTCACAAGGGTCTATGACGGTTCGTCAAATCTTGCCCTGGAGGGCCAATGCCCCTCAAACCCTGATCAAACTCACCTAGTGATCCTAAATAGCTCGCTCAAATGGGTTTGATCAGGGTTGGAGCTAAACTCTGTTAGGCATTGGCCCTCCAGGGCAAGATTTGAAGAACACTGGTCTTTGAAGACAGTCCCATATCTAAAAACTTTTAAAACTATGTCATTATTACTCACCCTTATGCGGTTTCAAACCCATGTTCGTTTTCTGTGGAATGCAAAATGAGAAATGTAAACAAAGTGCTTTTTTGTTTTCCAATGGCAATTTCCAAAAAGAACAAAAAAACTCCATAAAAGGACAAACAAAGTACAGTAGTTCAAATGACTTGTGCGTTATATTCCAAGTCTTCTGAAGCTATCTGACAGCTTTGTGTAAGGAACAGATTAAAATAATTACCTTGTAATAAAATCAGAAGACTTGAGTTCTTACATACAAGTAACGAAGACAGTGGAAATCTGGTAAAGTCTAATCATGAACCAATGTGTACTCTCTTGTTCACAGGTGGACTTCCTGTCTATTGATCCTATTGTTCCTGTCACCTTAACAGTTGATACTAATGCCGACAAGTTCTCCATAAACCAGGCTACAGGTGTTCTCTCGACCATAGTCAAACTCGACTTTGAGGAGGAGAGCAGCTACACTGTGCAGCTGTCCATAACTGATGGAACTAACCGAGATGAGGCATCAGTCCTGGTTGAGGTGCTGGACATCAATGACAACAGTCCAGTGTTCGAAAATCCCCCTGCTACTGTCTCAGTACCAGAGGATCACAAGGTGGGAGATAACGTAACATCGGTAACAGCCACGGATGCGGATGCAGGGTTTAATGGTGAAGTGCGGTACACCCTCCTGGGAGGTGCTGGAAGGTTTAATATTGACCAAGAAACAGGAGTGATAACACTAACTGAGCCCCTTGACAGGGAGACCCAAGATACGTACCACTTAGTGATCACCGCCCAAGATCAGGGTCGCCCGTCAAGTTCTGCCACCGCCAATCTGGACGTCTCCGTGACTGACATTAATGACAATGCTCCCATATTTTCCAAACAAATGTATGAAGCCCCAGTGTCTGAGCATGCTGAAGTAGGAACAGCTGTGATAGATGTCGTGGCAACAGACAAAGACGATGGTCCAAATGCTGTCGTGACCTATCACATTGTCAAACAGGAGCCTTCTTCAACACCACCCGTGTTTACCATTAAAGCAGAGTCTGGTAGCATAATCCTTGCTGAAAAGCTGGATTATGGCAAAGCTAAACGCTACACTCTTGAGGTGGAGGGACAAGATGGAGGAGTTCCTAGTCTCACTGGCACTGCTACCGTAACAGTGCTGGTTGAGGACGTTAACGATAAAGCTCCTGTGTTCCGTAAGGACCAGTACAACGAGTCCGTCTATGAAAACCTTGCAGGTGGAACTGCTCTGGTATTTTTGGAGGTTACAGATGAGGATGAGGTGAGAGAAGACTACACAAGACCTAAATAACGTTCAAATTAACAAGCCTACATTCCAAATCTGTTTTGATGTACTAACCTTTTCTAGTTTTCTCTCCGATCAGGGTGGGTTCTCTAAAGGTCAATTTATCATGGATAGCGATACCTTCGCTATCAACAGTCAAGGAGTAATATCACTCCGGAGCAACGCTACCTTGGATAGAGAAACTGTCGACAATTACATCCTACAGGTACAAAGCAATCACATTCATTTCTTAAATCCAACTTTTTGCAAAATGTTCAGGATGACTATTCATTCTGTATGGGATGCTTGCATTGTCTTTCTCAGGTTGTAGCTGTAGACCAGCCAGTCGATGGTTTAAGCTCCACAGCTCAGGTCATCATCACTGTTCTGGACGTCAACGACAACAACCCACAATTCCTTCCTCGACCAGAGCCCATTGAGATTCAGGAAGGTGTGTACACACCCTCATCACCTGGAGATGTGTGCAAAATCTCAGCCACAGACGCTGACATTGGAGACAACGGTCGTGTCACCATCACTACTTCCTCACACAGTGAAATATTCCGATTCAGAGAGGTGAGGACATAAACATATTGACATTACTATCTATTGTCAGATGTTCAGATCTTAAAATCTATTCCTTTATTTTATTCATTCAGGATGGGACTCTAGAAGCTATCGAGGAGCTGGATCGAGAGACACAGGCTGTGTATGATGTGCTCATTGTTGCTATGGATCATGGGACGCCACAGGGAAATGTAATTTCCTTTTCTTTGTATGATTTGTGATGTGAATGTGTACTTAAATACAGTTTTGTGATTGTACTAATTACATTGCCAAAGTTCCCAGAGTGCAGGTATACATCTAGCTAGCAATATAGCTAGCATTCTAGAGAACATAGAACAGGGCTAGCCAACCCTGCCCCTCGAGGGCTACCTTCAACCCTGCTCCAAAACACTTGGCTGTTGTTTTCAAATTATCATGAATATCTCAATAAGCTGGTCCTGGTTTGATTATGGTTAGAGCTAAACTCTGCATGATGGTAGCCCTTGGAATAGACAAACATTTGAGTTTGCTCTAAAGCAGGGGTAGCCAACCCTGCTCCTGAAGAGCTACCTTCCACACAAGTTGGGCTCCAACCCTAAACAAACTCTCCTGGACCAGCTATCCAGTGTATTTAGGATTATTTAAAACCTAAAGGCAGGTGTGTTGGAGCGGAGTTGGAACTGAACTCTGCTGAAAGGTTGCTCCACGGGATCAGAGATGGCTACCCTTGCTCTAAAGCAGGGCTGTCTAAAACTGCTAATGGAGAGCTAATGTTCTGCAACGTTTAGCTTCAAAACACTTGATTTGACATTTCTAATAATCCTGAATACCTTGATTGAGGTATTATAGGTGTGATTGATTATGGTTGGAGCCAAATTTGTCATGATGGATTAGACAAACATTTGGGTTTGTTCTAAAGCAGGTTAAGCCAAACCTGCACCTGAAGAGCTAATTTCCACAAGAGTTGAGCTCCAACACTAAACAAACTCGCCTGAACCAGCTGTCCAGGGTGTTCAGGATTACTTAAGGCAGGTGAGTTGGAGCAGGTTTGGAAGGGCTGAACTCTGCAGGATGGTAGCCCAGCAGGAGCAGAGTTGCTCTAAAGGTTATATTTATTCTAGATTCTGGATTTAGATTTATCCCTAAATGACACATATAGCAAACCCCAGGGAGTTCTTTTTAATGTCACACAGATGATCACCTACAATCTAAGTAGGCTAACAAAGATGATGCAATGAGGATCCAGCTGTCAATATTCAAAACTATAGATACACGATACTACAATCTTTAAGTTAGATACTACTCACAGCAAATATGAACTTTTGGTTCATTTTCTGCAGAACATCACCACATTGAGGGTCAGTATCACAGACGTCAATGACAACGCTCCAGTTTTCAGCTCTGACACATACAGCAAAAGCATTCTGGTTAGAGATGCCAAGGTTGGAGCGGTGCTGCTGACGCTCTCGGCCACAGACAAAGACGCTGGAAACAACTCGCTAATCAGTTACAGGTAAGCTTAAGACTAAACTCCCATTAGGATCAACAATATGAAGGCTAAACCATGAACACACTTACCTACATAACTCCTTTAAGACAGATGCATGAATGTTGCGTTTCTGTAGTTTCACCGAAGGCTCCTCAATGGTCGCATTGGATGCTGAAAAAGGAGACATCACTTTGACCTCTGACCTTAGCGAGGTCACCGAAGACACGCTGCTAAACCTCACTGCTATAGCGACAGATCATGGAACACCACCAAAATCTGATGAAGGTTTGGGCTTAGTTTGCTTAATTCCTGTAGACATTCCGGATAATGTGGGCAATTCTTATTGGCAGCCGTTAATTCCCTCTTCAGTATTCAAATCTTCTCTAATAAATAAGTCAAGATTAACATCTTTCTTCTCTCTGTAGCCAAAGTCTTGATCCACTTCAAAATTGCCTCTCTCACTGAGAGTGTGAGTTTTGAAAACTCCTCCTACAAATTCACAATAAAGGAGAATGAACCTGAGGCCTCAACAGTGGGGAAGGTCAAGGCATTAACAGGAAGTCCACTGGTTTCGGTCAGCTATAACATGAAGACATATGAGGATATCTTCTCTGTGGATGGTGAGGGAACCATAAAAGCTCTGAGACCGCTGGACAAGGAGGAAGAGGAGTGGTACATCCTCACAGTAGAAGCCATAGACTCCCGAACTCCTGCAAACACTGCAGAGACAACGGTACTGTTCTTGTTATTACATGGGAAGCTAGCTAAAATACATGTTGATTAGTTGACCTTTAGAAGACAACACAACATAATTGCCACCATCACACTTCTGGATGTAGCCGGGAATTGTTGTACTTTTGTTGTATTAGGAATTGCGTTCTGACAAATTTCAGAATGCAAAGACTCAGGTTTGTGAAATTAAAAGTGTTTCTGGCCTAAGACTTGGTGTTCCAACACTTAGTCAAAGTTTCTCCTCTTAGAAGAAAGCTGTCACAGGGGTAATTCATATTTGTATTTGACTTTTTTTCTCTCACAATCTTCAGGTCAACGTTCAGGTTGAGAACGTGAATGAGGCTCCTGTGTTTGACGCTGAACTATATAAAGCAGAGATTTTCAGCATCTCTCCATACAAATATCCTATAGTGAAGGTCCAGGTGAGTGTGGCTTGGCATATTCATCATACATAAATGCAATGGATGTAGGTCGATCTTTTTTAAATATAGTACTGTTTGCTAAGGTAAGCATTACCAATGTTATTGCTTACAAGTAGAGTTAATACCCTAGCATCATGGCACCCTAGCATCAAAGCACAAAATTGTAGATATTAGAAATAATAAACTAGACAAATTGTTATTTGCAAGTAATACAATGTATTTTTTTTTGTATTTACGTACCTGGCTGAAATGTGGTGGTGTGTCCCTCAGGCATCAGACCCTGATGTGGGCGAGAGCTCAGAACTGAAGTATTCCCTGGTGGAGTCTACAACTCTGCTGGATGTGGAGGCAAGCACTGGTCAAATCTACGTACTGGATGCATCAAGTTTTAGAGACAATCCGTCCACCTTTCAGGTTAAAGCCACTGATAAGCATGGGCTGTTCACGACTACACCACTACAGGTGAGCAGAAACAGCGGGAGAAAATAAAACAACACTTTTGTAAGACCAATGGCATTTTGATTGAGAATGGTGGAGAACAGCGCAGTCAATACAAGGAATACAATTAAAAGATCAAAACAAGCTCTTGTGTTTGCCACCAACAGATCACTGTGAAAGAAATTGCAGGTGACAATACCGTGGTCATCTCCCTGAACCAGCCCGTGTTCACAGTTGAGAGGAAGAGACAAGAGATTGAAGAGTGAGTAGGAGAATTGCCATTTCCCAGCCCACTTTTTATTTGAATTTTTATATATCATATTTGAATTAATCGTTCTATTGAGCGAGTTCTTTTCAGCTTCTTGACCAAGTTCCCAAAGAAGACTGAATGATTCATTTGATGTGCTTTTTCCTCAGTTCCATGGGGAAAGTTTTAGGCTGGACTGTGAAAATCCTCAGCGTGAGAGCTGAGGATGGGAATGAGATGCGCACCATTCTTAGAGAATCTGCAGACAAGACTTACGTCAGTTTCATCGCCATGGACTCCAGTGGTGCGGTCATCCAAGCCACTGCGGTCAAAGAGTAAGTTGAACTAATATCAGTTGAAATGTGCAATATATTCATAAAGAACTCAAGTTCTTTAACAAAAACATGAGCTTCATAGGCTTTAAACCCCTCTGGCCTGCATATCTACACTGCAGTTAATATTGTAGATAATGTACAAGACGTGAGTTTTGTGGGATCTAAATTGTGTCGACTCCCACAGGAAGCTGCAGAGTAATCTCAACGATGTAGAAGTGGAGCTGGGGAAGGTGTTTGAGTCCAATTTGGAAATCAAAGTGGAGGAAAGTTCTGGAATCTCTGAAGATTCCGAAGGTTCCAGTGACGATGCAGTCGTCATCGCTCTCAGTGTTCTGCTGGCCATAAGCATTGTGGGACTTATCGCTCTGTTGACTGTCTATCTCGTTAGGTAAGTTCTTAGAAGGTGTTTTTTTCTTTGCATTTCAAACATGCTGGCTGGCTTACACTGAATAACCATAGTGACCTGAAAGTGACCCATAGTCCCAGTGACCTGAAAGTGACCCATAGTCCCGGTGACCTGAAATCTTTCCTTAAGGAGAAATAAAGTCAAAAACTAAACAACCGACTCATTTACTTTAACTCATTCCCCACCGTTGGCAAGATTCCGCTGCCATGATGCAATACTGAAATAGTACAAGAATCTTGGATCTGAAAACAAGATGATCTGCAAAAAACAGCAAAAGCGAATAAAATGTGCTCACGCACACGTCATCATCAAACATTCAACAGCATAACATATAGCATAAACATTCAATAGAAAAGTTTTTTCTGAGGAAAACACAGGTTTGCAAAATTTTTTAATAAAAATGTAATAACTTGCCATTTCTGATGGATCTGTTGTCTTGTTGAAGATCCTGCAAAACTCAGAAATGTCACATTACAGAAGTGACTTTCTTGTTGACTTTGAACATTTTACAAAAAGACTACTCATTCTTTTAGTGGTAAACTTTTTTTTTTTTGCTACCTCAGGATGAAGAAAATGAAGAACACAGATTCTGACAGAGAGCGCTTCAATATTGGCGGTAGTTTTCGATTTAACAGGTAAGTGCCACTATACTGTTACAGAGCAGATGTAAACAGTTTACTTATTAAAATTTTGATCTGAAATACAAAATGTGCCTTAGTTCTGTCCCGAGATGTTTGACTAAACATGTTTCTTCTGTTAACAGCAAAAAACAAGAAGTCAAAGAGGTAAAGCACTCGATTTAGACGACCTTGCCAATGACAAATCAATGAAGTCGAATTCTGACTATATTCAGTTTGTGGAACTGAAAAGCTTCACGTTACAAATGTTCTGTTTTTCAGGTTAAGTTTAATAACACGCCCGATTCTGAAAGAGATTCTGAAAGATTCTGAAAATGACCTAAATTTGAGAGCCGGACCCAGCATCTCTTCCCTCTGAAAACACCTCGATCGATCAAAACTCTTCCAAGACTTCACGAGGTTCACAATTAATTCTGACTCACTGTTGTAAAACTTTTATCAACAGCGCTATTAAAGGCTATTCCAAAAAGATGATGCATTGTGACAAGATGGGGATAAATGTTGAATATAAATATATTTATTTCAGTTGATGAAAATTAACAATTAAAAGTCCCATATAGCCATCATTTTTGCGATGTATTTTGGTTAACATTAGCTTAGCAACATGCTAACACTAGTCGAATCTCCCGTGCACTTCTTGTGTTGCTGCCTATGCATTGCAGACTCACCTTGTTTTGGAAGAGCAAAAATCTCCTTTTGTATAGATATATGTACATTCAACTGCCTTGAATTGCAAATTATTTTTTTAAACGTTGTCTGTCAAAAAGGGACATCTTAAAACTTGTTTACGAATAACAGTAATTTTTTGCACTTTAACCAGCTATGATTGTGTATCAAAATTGTGTAATGCTCATCTTTGACATAAATATCCATCCAAACTCATTAAAAATGTTTCTTAATAATTGTGTGTGTGTGTGTAATTACCACAGACCAATCCACAACCCTCAAATGTGCAGATCTCCTGAAGATTTGTGCTGTGTTCAGAATAGCACTAGCACACTACAGTATCATTTAGTATGGCATAATAAATGCCAAAATGTGTAGTATACAAACTTTTTACTTTAATCTGATCTGAATAGTAAACAAGCATTTTTTTTCTTAAATGGAACTTACTATTATTTGAAATATTTATCATAAATTTATAATTAGCATTTACAGTTTGATTTTACCAACAAAAAAAAAGGAAGTATGCAGTGTACACTATATAGCTAATATTCTATTCCGAAGGCAGCCATCTTAGTTACACTCACAACAGAAAGAAAAAAAATCATCCCACAACCTGCTTTTTGGACTCGTAATTTCATAATTAAATCATATTAAAATTTTATTAAGTTATATCCTATATTAAAATAAATGAAAACAGAAAGACTGAGAGAGAAATCAAATACAGAGAACGCAAGAATGACATCCAATAGATTATGGAATGTATTTCGGTAAATAAAATAGAGCTCCAACTGTTCCATCAAATGTGCAATATTCTGGCCACAAATGATCTGAGCCTGAAAAGAGCACCGTAAGTTTCTATATACACAGCGTAGGTATATATATATACAGCAGATTTATATATACAGTATACTGCACTTGAATGGATATATACTGTATACATATACCTTACAGAAACATATATATATATATACATACATATACATATATATATATATATGTATACATATATATGTATATATATATATATATTTTAACCATCTCATTTACAAAGCCAGGCAACATCTAGAAGATTCTTTACAGAATCAAGGTTCTTGTGGTTCGTTCTTTCTTTTCAATATACAAAGTAAACATAGTTTTTGATATCCACCACAGAGAAAAAAAACCCACAGCGAGGCCATTTCAGCCTCACGTCTGCAAGTACAAAACTGGCACAGAAGACAATCGTAATTATAATAATAATACACGTGAATAAAAATGCAAAATTAAATTATGCACTGATGGGACTAAAATGTTGTAAACCTTTTCCCTGTTTCACTGCAGGCTCGAAAACAAACCACTTCAAAACAAATAAACCAACACAATTACGGCTTAAAAAAGAAAACCACCGCCCTTTGACGAAAACACGCTCCGGCTGATATCGTTCGCTTTTCGTTCTGTTCAATTAATGCGGAGCTCAGTTGGTGAAGAGCAAGGCCAAAGGGTGGAAGAAAGAAAAAAAAGTTGACAATTCGGACTTCAATTACTCTTTAAAAAGACAAAACTGAACAGCATGGCGAACGGAAATGGTGAAATGTGAAAAAGGAGGGATGTGAAAAGTAACGTCACAATGCCGAGGGGCGTGTCCCTCCTTTTCCGTTCGAAAGTTTGGCAACCACCCCGATAGTGGCCTCGACTGTGCGTGACAGCATCTCCAGGGAATCCTGCATGTGGGCGTGGCCACAGCCGCCTGACTCCGCCTCCTGGAGCGAGCAGCTCCGCCCCTCAGAGGCTTCCGGCAAACTGGACAGTAAAAGCACCGAGTCGGTGGAAGTGGAGGGAACTTCCTCTCTTTCTGGCTCCGCCTCCTGCTCGTGCGGTTCCTTCCTCCCATCTTCCTCTTCCTCCTCCTCTCTTCCCGCCATCTGCTGCGGAGCTTCATCCGCTCGGCCGAACGCTTCGGGAAGAGAGGAGGATGACGACGAAGACGAAGATGATGAAGATGACGAAGCTTCCATTTTCTTCTCCTCGAGGGACGCGCTGTCGGGAGAGGGCGGGTCGTTTTCCGTTCCCGGGTCGATGAGGGAGGAGTCTCGGGTTTCAGTGTCCGACGTGCTGGTGGGCGTTAACGCCTCCCCGGGCTCCGCCTTCTGCTCGGAGCAGGGAGCCAATGAGGAGGAGGATGAGGAGGAGGGGGCGTCGCCTGCACGATCGTCAGCACTGCTGCTCACTCTCCGGCGTTTCACTGGAGTCACGCCCTCCTCTTCCGCTGAGGAGTAGAGTAAAGACAAAATGAGGCATTTTTAATGTGTGATTAATGCCGTGGCTCATTTAAAGCGAGAACCTTGACAATCGTTTTATAAATGAATTTTTATGTTAAATAAAATACTATTATCATGTACAAAAAAATACAGCTTTCTGTCCTTTAAATGTAAATAATTGTTTAAAATGTGCTTTTGGTCATTTAATGCCTGGTTCAGATTACACGATTTTTTTGTATGTTACGATAGTCACTGTGTCAGATTACGCGATTTTGACTCCTAAAATCTAGTCGTGTCGTGGACATGTCAGACTACACGTTGCTTCCTGACCAGTCATCGCATACCGTCTTAAACGACGCGCATGATGTCATTGAGAAGGCGAAACTAGTAGCGAGTGACGTCCGGAAACAAACGTAAATAAACAATGGATGAAGCGGTGAGTGTTGTATTGGCTGTCCTGTGTTCAGAAAAAAGTAAGAAAGAGATAACGCGACAATGGACACGTTCCTGGATTGCTATGAGGACAGTATGGCCTGTCAATCCTGTCGATCCGCCAATCGTCTCCCTTTCGTTTCGCCATTTTTGAAAGTTGTGTACGGAAAAGCTTCGGTGCTCCTATTGGTCAACCTCATACATGTGACGTAACCGTCGTGGACGACCGTTCAAAAAAAATTAAACATGCTAGTCTTTTTGTCGTGAAGCATCGCAGACGCGACGTAGGTTGTCGCCCACTATGACACACTATACGAGATGATACAATCGAATCTTGCGTCCCGACGCCCGTTGTCGTTTACGAATCCGCACAACAGCCTACGTCAAACGGATCGTGAATCAAAATCGGGCTAAAATCGTGTAATCTTAACCAGGCATAAGATGCTTTTTTGATGCAATTAAGAAACGCTAATTTTTTATCCCTAGCTGTTGCTACCATGTTAAAAAAAATTATTCATAAATAAATGGTTATTATATTTCACATAAAAAAGTTCAAAGAAAAGAAAATAATGTGCGATTAATGCCGTGTCTCATTTAAAGCGTCTTTGAGTGCCTTGAAAATCAATCCTTTTATGAATATATAAATGATTAACTAAATAGAATAGGGGAAAGAGAAAGAGAGAGAGAGAAAGAGAGAGAGAGACACAGAGAGAGAGAGAGAGAGAGAGAAATTAAATAAATAAATAACCAAATGAAAGGGAGAGGTAGGAAGAAAATAAATGTATTGATTGCATATATACTAATAAAACATTCAGTGGTGCTATTTAAATAGAAGAAACAGAATATATAATAATAAAACTGTACATTATGTCAATGTAGATCAATACACATGTACACATTCATAAACAAACAAATTATATTAAATAAAATACTATTATTATTATGAACAAAAAATACAGCTTTCATTTGTCATTTGTAAATTGTTTAAAATGTGCTTTTTAGTAATTTAAGACGTGCAAAATAAATAAAGATTATATTTTACATCAAATAATTCAAAGCCATGATGAGCAAGAAATGTTGTGTGCCCCTAGATGTTGCTACCAACTTATTAAATAACTAATAATACCAATTCTTCTTCTCCTTCCTGTTATTGTCCTTATTATGATTATTATATTTCAAATAAAATAAAGCCATGATGCACAACGAATGCATACTTTTCAAAAACAATTTTGTCAAATGCATTTTTGTGCCATAAAATTGTAAAAAAAAATCACCATCATGTGTTTCTTTTGAAAGATTTCATTTAGAATCTAATAATATTAATAATCGATTATGTAAGTGTGTTTGTGTATGTTGAGACCTTTGGCTTTGCGCTCCTTGGCCTCCATGTCTAGTGTTGCGCGGTGCTGAAGACACAGTCTGCACTTGGACAGCAGCTCCTGTAGAGCGGGACCCAGAGCCGGATCCAGATGCTGAGGGGTGGACACCGACAGCACCAGCAGCAGCGCTCGCAGGTCCTGCAACACACACACACACACACACACACACACACATGAGGGAAGAGCACATGACGGAGCGCTGGCTCAGGCGCGAGGAGGGAGCTGTACTGACCGCGTTCAGGAGGCTGCTGGTCTTGCTCATCTCTGCTCTCTGATTGGTCAGCTCAGGCTGCAGGCTGTGGTACTCGTTCAGAAGGTTGGTCACCAACACGTTGACGAGATTCGAGCAGCTCTGGCCTGATAACACCTGCACCTGCACCTAAACACACACACAGCAGGACAGGCTCAGTGTCACCACTCTCACACAGTAAGCTTCAACATGTCACCTTAGAAATTATAACAGGGGTTTGGCCTGTTCGCAATACTAACCCTGATCTGCAGTGTGTGTGTGTACCTTGTGTAAGAAGCAGGTGAGGAACGAGTAGGCGATGTTGTTGTTGAGGAAGTTCCTCTCGTCCATCAGGATGCATTTCATGTACTCTCCAAACGCTGGATCCTCACACAGCAGCTTCACACACGACTGAGCCATCGCACACTGACAGAGAGAGAGAGAGACGTCAGGACACACACACTTCTGACTGCTGTTTTCATAGTTATGTCTGAAGAATCTGCTGCCGAAAACCCATATAACGCATCAATCTGAGATGATGTAGAGATGCATGTGTAGAAAATGATTATTTTTTACATTTAACACTTTAAAGTGTGATTGATGTTGTTTCTCATAAAAGTGTGTTTGAGCTCCTTAAAAAGTAAAAAGAGCTCTAAAAAAATACATTATAATGATGTGCATATATATATATATAATATTTTATGTGTCTGATATTATATATATATATATATATATATATAATATTTTATATATATATATATAATATTTTATATATATATATATATAATATTTTATATATATATATAATATTTTATATATATATATATATATATATATGAAGAGTTCAGATGCAAAAGCCTCTAAATGCCATTTGAAATTTTCTTCTTTAATGATGATTTTTATCAAACTTGTATATTTAAGTTCAGTAATTTCACTTAAATGGCAATGATAATTACCTAT